CGTCTCCATTATTATAAAACACTCAAGATTATACAGGTATATGAAGATAATCGTGTACATGAGAAGTCGAAGTAATTTGTCTATTATTGACTTAAACAATCATGAACCTGGTCAATAGCTTGGCATGCAACGAGAAGATTACAAGTGGCACACTTAACACAGGGAGTAACCCGCACTGTACTCTTTTTCCCTTGATCGAGGTTTTGTCCTAATGGATTTTCCTGACAAGATCTTTAACGAGGTAGCGTCACATTCGAAAGTATACTCTTTTTCCTTCACTAGGGTTTTATCCCAAAAGATTTTTCCTAGTAAGGTTTTAATGAGGCATTATTCTGCAAAGATGGACATTCAAAGGGGGAGTGTTATGAAATATTTGATTTGATTTGATTGAATGTCCACAATTAATATGTATTATTCTATTCACAATCAAGGAGATATGATTATATAATGGTAGATGATTGATTTCTCACAGTTTGATCCCCTACTTCTTGTATAAATAGGGAGCTCATTCATGCTTTAAAATACATCTGAATACAAATATTTATCTCTCTCTATTCTTTTGTCTCTCCTCTTTGTTCTTATGCTTAGTTTCATATTAGTAGTCTAGTATTAATTTTATAATAGACTTAAAATTATCGTTACTCATATAATCATGTGTTTTGAAATTTTCATAGTCGAAAATATGTGCTTATCACGAAAGTTAGTGATTTAAATCCTAGTAAAAGAGAGAAATTAGAAAGATATAGGAAACAGTGTGATCCCTATCTATGTTAACTACTTTCACTCTCACTCGTTAGTTTTTAGTTCACAGAAAAGTTTACAACCCTACACTACACACCACAGTTTTTATATAATTGTTGATTTTCTTTTTTCCTTCAAACGTCGATGCTGTGGTCAAACTACTTGTCGAGGGTTACACTTTTTCCTTTGTTTTTTTAAATGAAAACCATATCAAAATTACGAGTATTATTTGTTGAATTTAAAAAATATAACAAATTGTACACAAAAGAATGATATAACAAATGAGATATTTATCTTGGAGCGGAATGATATTAATATATAAAAACCTGATTAGTGATAACATCATCTATCATATATAGTATACTCTTGTGTCTCAAAATGATCCTTCGATTTTATTTTTCAGTTTTAGTAATATTTGAATTAAAATAAAAATTGAAATTGCAAAATCATCATTGAAATTGCAAAAATCATTTTGAGACGGAGGTAATATCTATTAATTTTGGGGCATATATTGCATAAAGTAGTACTCCCTTTGTCCCTGGGACACAAACAGTGGTAAAGATTGTGTAATGAGAAGCTTTCAGAATTAAACATATTTTTATTTTGGAAAATGATATATCTAATGAAGAAAAATAGTGAAAAAAGATTGTGAGTATGTGGAGTATTCTTAGCCCCTAGTTTTTTGTCATTTTCCCGTTAAAATTTTATCTTTCCCTTAAAATTATAATTTTATCCTTAATTAATAAGTGCACATATTTAGTGAGGATGTTGTATTTGTCTTTTTCATTAGTCATTATCTCTATCATTGTCTTAAGTTACTATCTCTATCATTGTTCTTTAGTCACTATCTCTATTATTGCTCTTTAGTCATTCTCTCTATCATTGCTCTTTCATTTTGATATGAACGCTTTATTTACTAATTAAAATGCAACATATGCTTAACAGGGAAAACAATCAAATTTGATTATTGATCCAATACTTTTTACCCTTCGTTGAGAGAAAATTGTAAAAATAAGAACCCTAATTGTGACCGATGGAAAAGAGACTGTAATTGAAAGAGCTAGAATTCACTACTTCGGTGATTTTCTTTTCCAAGCGATAATAATACAGTATAAGGCTTCCTAGATTTATAAGTTTCAGATTACTAAGTAATCAGTACGTCGTAATTGATAAGAAGGAAAGCAGAAAACCTAGAACTGATTGCTATCTCCTCAAGTTTGGTGATGATCGATCTCCGTATTAAGGTCGCGTTCTCTAGAATGATGTTGATCGACTTCTTTTCTGTTGATCAGTAGCAGCTGAAAGTATTGCAGCTGACTTTTATAAAAAAAACGTGTGAATAACAGAAGTGTACAAAATCCAATTACCACGAGACTTACTTGATCTATGTTAGACTTCTTTGTGCAACTGAGTACATACTTCCTTATCACTACTATCATCCTTATCAGTTCCTGTACTCAAAGAATTACCTTTCGAGTAAAATGGTAACTCATGATTTTTATCACGTTGTATACTCGGTGCCGATATAAAGACCCCTTGACATAGTTAAGGTTTACTATCTATCGCAACAAAAAACTGGAGTCCTTAAAATCACGAGTACTTTGCTGACGATGTTAAAAGTTCTTTAATTGCTGACGATATGTTAAAAGTTCTTAAAATCACGAGTATAGTCCTTTAATTAAAGTTCTCATGAAATTCCTCAAAATTAGATTTTTTTTTTTCTAATGAAATCTTGAAAAATTTTGATGATTGAACGACACAATCACACAAGTCATGATTTAGTTTTGAAATTTAATGTGTAGGTGAAGAAGTATAAGAGTCAACATATCATGCTACTCCCTCTGTCCCAAAATTATTGTTCCGTTTGAAATTTTACTTTTAGTACAATTTGAATTAGAAATGAAAACTCAAACTGGACAATAATTATGGGACGGAGGGTGTACATATAAGAAAACACTATCGATAGATAAGCCCCATGGCAAAGTTATTCGGAAAATTATTTTTAATACTCTCTCTGTTCCAAAAATTGATTCACATTAAGTTTTGACATTTGTATAAAAAACAGTAGAAATTTAAAAACTCCGTGTGAATTATTTTTCTAGAACACATATTATGTTCAAAAAAAGTACCCTTCAAAAACTAGGTAAGAGGAGAGCTGGTTATGTATAAGGATAAATAATAAAATTCTATTGTCAATTTGACAATAGTAACATCAAGATATCATATATTGGAATATACCATCTTAAATTCCAAACTTTCAAATAAATTGTCGTCCAACTGGGAATGCAAACATAGCCAAAAATAAAAAATAAAAATCAAGCGCCATTAGTTCTTGATAATCCAAAATGATTGTCTTTGTATTTACTACAATGCAATACACGCATATATAGCAGGATTATTGAGATGTATGATTTTTTGTTCTTCATTGTATACATTGTGTCGAATGTCGATATAAAGACCTCTTGACATACCCATAGTTTTCGCAAGAATTAGTACGTTTAATATGAGGTCGATCATGATGTTGACATTTGTTCTAGCGCTTAGTGTTACACTGCCAGGTAGTTCTCACCTTATAACTATTTTTTTCCAACTTTTTTGTACGTGTTTTTACTTAAGTTTAACTGTCAAAATCGATGTACAGATAACTTACTTCTTTTTTGTAGGTCTTTTCCAAGGAGTTGAAGCCCTCAAGAATTGTGAAGTGACTCAAGATTGTTACAGTCTTTGTCCATCGGGCACTCTTAAAATCAATTGCGTTAACCATACCTGTATTTGCGACGGTCATGTTCCAACGGTTTCCGCAACGGACCAACCTATATATGGCCGCCGGTGTAAGCCAGAAGATCCAATATTAAGGAACTTATGTCTGTTTCAGTCAATTATTATTATTATTTCTTAAGTCCTCAAACTAGTTTTTGAAAATTCTTCATAAATTAGGTATGAATATTTTGATTGTTTTGATGTAGAGTGAATCTGAATTGTTATGATTAATTAGTTTAGTAATCCCTCAATCACTCCCTAGATGAAGAAAAAGTTTTAATTAGATTAATTAAATCATAAGGTTATGAGTTCTTCCTTCCTACATTGTCTATCAAAGAAAAAAATCCTTTCAATTTATTTACAAATTTAATTGGGGCTCAAATATCGATTTTTAAAGGAAAGGAAAATCAGTCCATTAGTTCTGTTCACTAATCATGGGAAATTTAAGGAAATTGAGGGTGCAAAGTGCCAAGTAGTACATGCTCTACTTTTCTGCAGAAACATGGCAATTTGGTGTTTGGTCCCAACTCGTAAGGAACATGCATGAATGTCCGCCCTAAGGTTTTCGAATCCCAAAGAAATAATTTATATTGTACGAATATCAAAATTTAATTAAAATAAATATAATTCTCTGTTTCAAAGAAATAGTCTTACATTATACAAACATTAAAATTCAATTAGATTATTTTTCAGAACATATAGAATATTTTAAGTCATAGTCAACATTTTGTGTTTTTAAAAAATCGTTAACCAACTTTATTTTAAGGTTACACCCATCTAATTTATGTAGGTTTAGGGTCACCATGAACACATTAACAATAAAATTGACAAAAATCATTACTCCCCAGAGCAAAACCGAATAAACAAATGATGGAAAAATAACTAAACCCGAAATTGAACTGATAAATTAAGAATAGTGTTATTGAAAACTTGAAAACGAAAATTAAGGCCCTTGGTAGTTTTGAATGGATTCATCAATGAGAAAGAAACTTTAAGACAAAACCCAAGATGTTTCCAGTTCAATTATAAGAACTCTAGGTGAAGGGGTCAAGAACTTCTTTGGTTACGGCAAACCAAGGTCATCTTACCCTTCTTTCAAAAAAAAAAAAGATCATCTTACCCTTCTTTCAAAAAAAAAAAAAAGATCATCTTACCCATGTTGTAAGGGACAATTTTGGGAGGTCCTCAATTATTTGGAGATGCTTTAATCCACAAAATCCCAATCTAATGAACTTTAATTATTTTCAGCTATTAAGTATATCATCGCAGTGGTTTGCGTTGGTAAGCGTTATCCATGACCCATCCAAGTTTAGCCATCCATTCTTATTTATTCGGGGGGGAAAAAAAAAAAACACAGTCTTCAATGTATTTACGTATCTCTAATGTCATCAACATTTTTATTGCTTCAAGATTTTTATAGAAGAAAGGTACCAAATTGAGCGCGCTACGTACCCATTCATCATCACTCATCCATTTTGGTACGCACACCCATGCCAAATCTCCACAATTTAATTCCTTCATAATCGAAAATTTTCCCACTTTATTACAGCTAAATAATAATAATAAAAAAATTAATACACCCCGAGTCCTACTTAAATTTCCTAACAGGGTAAACAAACTAATAAAAAGGCTCCCTAAAGATGAATAAATTAATGTTGAAAGTAAAGAAGCAAAAAAAATATAAATTAAAACGACAATGATAAGGAAAAAAAATTATAAAAAAAACATCCACAAACCTAAACGGTTGTGAACCTATAAATCATAAGATGTTTGTACTTTTCTCCAGGCTGAACCACTTGAGAAGGAAAATTATGATGATTGACTGAATCTGGGAACCCTTGAGTCTCCAAGCAGAATGCCTGATACGTATTGTAAGTTGCACCATTTTTCCCTTTTGTGGTATTCAACATGTTGCTGGTGTAGAATTGTACTCCGGGCTTGTTACTCCACAGCTCCATTTTTCGCCCTGAAGTAGGGTCGTGTACAGCTGCAACTTTGTGTACATGAAGTTTACCATGTTTATTGGTTTGGTAATCAATGACATAGTTGATGTCATATCCATCAGGGATTTCCTTAAATCTGCTACCAATAGCCCTAGGTTTCAAGAAATCGAAAGGCGTGCCTTCAATGTTCAAGATTTTGCCGGTAGGGATGAGTTTTTGGTCAACCGGAGTGATGTGAGAACCAAAGATTTGGATTTCATGGGACAAAATATCACCACTATTGTGACCAGCTAGATTCCAATAAGTGTGGGATGCTAGGTTTATTGGTGTAGGTCTATTTAGAGGTTTGGCTACCATTTTTATGGCCAATCTGTTGGTTCCCACCAACATGTACATCACATAAACATCGACTGTTCCAGGAAATCCTACCAAAATTGAACAAAAAGTTTTGTATTACAGTTATCGATGGATCTGTACAAACTATGGTCAGATCCAAGCTAATTCTCGCTTAATCAGACTCAAATAATAAAGTCTAGATGACTAACCTTGTTCACCATCATGGCTAAGATAACGGAGACTAATATATTTATCTCTAACATACTCATCCACTGTCCACACAACATCATTGAATCCAACACTACCACCTGAATGAATTTGTAAACATTTGAGTTAAATATTCGACATTTAGGTTTACAAAAAATTTCATTCATAGAGAAGATTAAAGTACCGTGGAGTGTGTTTCCATGATCATTGGCAGGGAGTTTATAACTAACACCATTCAGTTTGAACCTAGCATGTCCAATTCTATTTGCCACCCGACCAATTAGACCTCCGAAATAGGTTGAATCAGTCTACCAAACAAATAGTATATTAATTAGCAAAATCAAAAACTTTAAAACGAAAAAGTGAGAAATTTTCAACAAAGCTAGCAATTGTTGAGCACAATTCCATTTCCACTTTCAACAATTATTCAAAGTCTTTAAAATGTTAAACTCCCGAATGTAGAACGCACTTTCACTATAACAAACCGTCCCTCCCTACTAAAAAACAAATCAGAGTCATGCTCGTGGTAGTATAGCATTCATCCATATAAAATACCACCATCAAAATAGATTAAAAAAAATTGTAATAAATCCAAACTTACCTTGTATTCATCTACTGTTTCATAACCAAGAATCACATCGTCCAATTTCCCTGCAAGCATACAACAAAAACGCAAAAACAAAAAAATAATATTAAAATAAAATCAAACTGTGACCAAAAATCACAATTTTTTGTGGTAGTTAATAGACTTTGTTGCGGGAAGAAGGTAACAAAAAAGCGTAAAAATGACAAACCATTTTTATCAGGGAGAATCACTGAAAGAACAGTAGCACCATAATTGGTGATCTTGACGGAAAAGTTGCCCTTCACTAACTCATACACATTGATATCACTATAAGCACCAACATCTTTGAGCAAAACTAATCCGATCAAAATAGAAAAACAAATCGTGAATATTTGTGATGCCATGATAAAAAAAATTCTTTGTGGCCGATTTTGTTTGTTTGCATGAAATAATATGTGCCCGGATCGATGTATATATACATCTGTGTAAGAATCATCACCACAAGTGCAACAAACTTGAGAGATATTAGATAAGATGTTTAGATTGGATTTGGGAGTGATAAGAGGAAAATCTTGTTTCTTTTTCCTTTTTTTTTGTTATGAGTAACAAAGGATAAATATCATCCGTTCTGATATAGTTTATAGGATACATCACGTAATCACATGTTTCAAGGAATTTTTTTCTCGCATTCAATATTGACTGTTTTTCTAATAGGAGACTAGGGTCCAAATTACGCTAGAAGTAAGTTGGGGAAATCATTATGATATCAGTTCTTACTAAGTTGATGTTTTCGTTAGGAAATTTCTTCACAAAATAGTCTTATAAAACTTGACCCAGAATCCTCCTATATTCTATCAAAAACAGAAAGACAAAAAAAAAAAAAAAAAAAAAAAAAAGAGCAAAAAGAAAAAGCCTTGTTACAATGTTGAACATTTTTAGCCCAATGTTACAAAGCCGTGTTACAATGTTACAAAGTCGTTGTCTACATAGTGATATAGTTATTGTTTTTCCAATAAACCTCGGAGAATATTATGATACGAAGTATTTAATTTTCGGAATTAATATGTTAATAATGTGGGGGATTAATTAATTCTGAGGTTATCAGTATTCGTACAATTAATTAATTACTTACGGATGTGCAGGATTTCATCATAATTTTGGGGTGACAGATTATTACAAATCTCTGTTTAATTTCATAACAAACGGGTTCTAATCCCATTAGGTTTGTTCATTTTATATGAAATTGGAGGACTTGTTCACAATTGTATGGAATTTATTTTGGATAGGGGTTAAGAAAATGACAAGTAATATACTCCTTCTATTTTTTTTATATGTTTTTAGAGAAATTATCAAAACCAAGAAAATATTTAATGTAGTTAAAATACAAAATATCCTTATTTATTATCTACACAATTCATCACAAAGCAATAGCAATTTATTATAAATACTGTTTCATTTCCAATGCAAGGGTAATATTGGTAAAAAGTGGTCAACTATGCCTCGATTTGTAAAAACGACATATATTTAAAAAAATTCACCAAATCCTAAAACGACATATATTTGAAAATGGAGGGAGTAGTAGTATAAGATATGTTTTTACTGATGTCAGTGCTTTAGAAAATGAACTTATTGTTTTGTCTCTACGATTTCTCTCTTGGTCACATAAACTATACATAGTAAATATTGGGAAAAAAAAAAGATATTAAAGGCCGTCTCATAATGTCATTATCCTCCCGCTGCAAAATCAATAATATTTACCCGCCAAAAAACTCTTCACAATATTAATGTAGCAAATCACTTCCATTTTCTTCTTCTTTTAAGATCTTTTCCCTTCACTTCTCCGATAAAAGGACGTTCAATCTTTCTGCAGAACAGAATTGCAATCAAAAGGTAATTTACTTCTTCAATTTTTCTTGCAGTCTTTTATCCGGGTTTGCTTTTCGTTGTTTTATGCAATCATGTCTTGTAAACACTTTTTTTTTTTTTTTTGGTCGAAATCATGTTTTGTATATCTTCATTAATTTTAATTTCACCGATTATATCAGGCTTTTGATTTATTGAACTAGATCCTGGATTTTAGCTTTTTGTGTGTGTGTGTGTGTGGTTAGAGATGGATGAATCTATGAATGTCACAACGGAATAACACATAATTCCTCAACATATGGCTCTTTTTTTAATAATTTCGTATATTCACTTTTTATGGTTTGGATTAGGCTGTCTTGCGATGGTGGTTTACGTATAATTCTTTTGTGTGTTTTTGTATCCGTTTGAAGCTATAAATTAGGACGAATTACCATTTGCTTCATTGTGCTAAAGTAGTATGTTGTGCTGCCTGGACATGAAGATCTGATTTTTACATGTCCTTCCAGGTGACATGAGTTCTCAAACAACTTACGGTGTTTGTGAATCCTGCCAGCATGTGTTGTTGTGATGATTCCAGTGAATCTGGTGAGGAATGTGGTAATGGAGATTGTCCTGGCTCTGTAGATCCATTGGAGCGGGTAAGAAAAGCTTTCGCGAAGATGGTTTGTACGGAGGACTGTCCCTCGAGGATGGTAGAATGTCCTAGTTTCCTGTTATGCCTGAAAACTTTGAATCCAGTTGTTGAGTTGGGGAAATTTGATTCCCTCAAGGATGAATGCTTGAAATCTTATGAGAGGGGCGCGGTTGAAATTAGGTACAGGTTGAAAACCATGGAAGGAAAGGTAAACCTCTCAGCTGAGACATTCAAAGATAAGGATTTTGCTGACTTCATTTGCATCATGGCACATTTTATTGATGAGAAATGGAAACTCACTAAATGGACCCTCAAGTTCCAAATTCTCGAGTGGGAATCGCCTTCTGAAGCCATAATAAAGTGCCTTGAGCACTGGGGGATCAGGGACCAAGCTTTAACGCTTTCTCTGAAGAGCTTTAGTTTTTGTGATGATGAGGAAGCAGTGGAACCGGTCAAAGATTATCTGCAAGGAAGGAAGCAGATGCAAGTTGGTTGCAAATTATTTCAAGTACATTGTTGCGCCAAGTTGCTGGCTCTGATGGCCCAAGAGGCACTGGAAGGGATATCCGGAATCATCTTTAAGCTTCAGCATTTTATACCATGGGGAATACCCTTATCACAATGACAGATCGCAAACCATACCTTAAAGAAGGCATTCCAAATGCAGGCAGATGGGGAAATTGAAGTGACTCGCTTTTATGAAGACTACCTGCTCTCTTCAGAAGAGTGGGAGAATGTTGGAGGAGTTTGCAAGTTGATAGATAAGCTACATTCTGTTGCAGAAGTTCTGCTTTGTGCTAAGTATCCTAGCGCTAGCTTGTTCCTCGTTAATCTAAGTGTTCTTAGTGTAAGTTTGATGGAGCAGGATGGTACAGAACCTGGGAGCTTTGTCAATTCCATTCGAGAGAAAATGCTGCAAAAGTTTGAGAAGTACTGGGAGAATATGTTTCCGATTCTGGCTGTCGCTACAGTGATGGATCCTCGGTGTAAGATGGCTTACATAGAGCATTTGACAGCGAAAACTCCTCAGGCTGATAATGCAACCACTGGCACTCACCATCTTCCATTTTAGAAATTGTCCGTGCCCTTTATGATGACTGTCTTACCAGTATTCTACAGCATGAAAATTCTGCCAGTGACTCCAGCCCGTCTGACTGCGAAATTGATAATTCTTTCAGTTCAGAAGAGGAGAATCTTCAGGTTTCGTCGAAGAAAAGAAAAGTCGATCTTCCATCGAGTTACGAAAGAGATGGCAAGGACAACAGCATTGGTGTGAATGCCAATATGACAAACCATTTGCAAGACTACCAAGAGTATGTTCAGGTGACCAAAAAGGATCAGCCTCCTCGCTCTGAACTGGATTTTTACTTGGATGAACCTGTCATTGCTTGGAATGAAAACTTCGAACTGCTGAAATGGTGGCAAACGAAAAGGTCCAAGTATCCAACTCTTTCCAGGTTGGCTCGTGACCTCTTGTCGATTCCATTTTCAGTTGCAACTTCAGATTATGCATATTACATGGAGGACAGAGAGGTTGACGAGCGACTTTTATCATCCGATCCTGCTTTGATGAATGCTTTGAAGTGCACTTGGGATTGGAATCGAAACCCTTAAATGTAAATCTGTCTACCTGTTCCTCTTTCTTTCTTCCTATTTGGGATGGTTCACAGGAGACTAACATATGAACTCCAATTCCTCATATGGCTTTCCAAAGTTAGAGTAAATGGCTTTCTGAAGTTGCTGTGCTTTTGGTTCTGGTACCGTTTCTTTTGTTGATCCTGGTGACTGGTAGTTAAAGAAAATTTCTGTCTGTGTTCCAGATTCAAATCTTTCTTTGTATTTTGTTGCAATATCAATGATTGGAAAGAATTTGTCCTCTTTTTTCAAGTTTCAGTTCCTTTTATAATTCTGTTTTAATTTTCTGTGAGAATTATCATCTGCTCGATAAGAGCAGGTAGAAACTCTAATAGTGTCTACAAGCCAAATGAAGATGAACATGTTAATTAAACATTCCAATATAATACTGGTATCTAAAGGCAAAGTTGGGAAATTCCCTTCTTCATCACCTTTTAGTTCTGCTTTCTTGCTATAGGACCATCCTGAATTCTTTAGGTTTCCATCAGTCATACAAGCTATTAGTAGTTTATCCTTTTGGTGTCTTAATTCATTCTTGGGTTTTGCATAAAAAGATAGGAAAAGAAATGATAGAGACTGAAATGAAACCCTTTTGCTTAGAGGGAATACAGATTATTTAGCCAATTATAAAGTACCCATTATACATTTTTGTCACCTCAAAACCAGCCTCCCTTATTGACTACTTTATTAACGAGGGCAAGCCACATTGCCATTAATTATCTGAACAGAGAACATTGAAGGCTTGCGCTTCACGAGCAACTTTAATAAAAACATCTTCCAACGTTGTATCAGCAAGACCCCATGCATGAACTGCGAATCTACTCTTAGCTTCCTCAACTGCTTGGAAAACGTCGGCAATTTTAACCTCATTCTTTGGCAACTCAAATTTCTGAGTCCCAGCTATTTGGTATGTCTTGACTGCGTTCGGGGTAAGTTGTCGCACTATGCTGTCCACTTCCGCCTCATGATTCTCTGATGTTGTCATTGTAAAGACATAGGATCCCGCATATCTAGCCTTCAACTGTAATTCAACATCACATATTATTAGGTGACATATAGTTTTCAAAAGAACACTTAGTCAGGAACTCTCATTTAATGCCTGCAGTTGATGAACGCTATGTATCTGTCTTTAGATAGCCGTAAATTTTACGCGAAAATTCAAATGAGTAGCTTAAGAATACAACAGTCATCTTTAGTATGGTTCACATATTCCCGATGAGAAAAGGTTTGAAGTATACCTCTTTTGGGTTACCTATGCACTGCAAGCTCCCATCAACAAATATTCCCAACCTGTCACATAGATGCTCTGCCTCTTCCATTGAATGAGCTGAAAGTAGTTGAAAACGATTCAAGGGGGAAATGAAGTGAACAGTCTTTAATAGGTAGGTAACAAGTGAATTAGAAGAATAAATGTGACTGTGTATCATTGTGTCTCATAACAAGTAAATACGAGGGAGAAATTACTCGTAAGAATGATCGCTCTGTCTTTCTTTGCTCGCTTCACAACATTCCACAAATTGTTTCTTGAAGCTGGATCTAGTCCTGCACTAGGCTCGTCCATGTAAACAACCTAACCGATGAACATGAGAAACTTTAGTAAATAACGAAGCTATCTATGTTTAAGAATATACGCTTATGCAGATAAGGAAAAAGTGCAACTTTGGGATCTCCAATAAGAGAGATTGCAACACTAAGCCTTCTCTTCATGCCTCCACTGTATTTCCCGGCTTGCTTGTCAGCAACACCGTCATAGAACAGGTTTACACTCTTAAGAGAATCTTCCACAGCCTGCATTAGCTCAGTTATGTCGAAGAATCAGATTAAAGATGCAGAGAAGTTTGGAGACAGTTTGTTGCAAATATGTTTTAAATCAACGAGAATTATTAAAGTGCAATATGATTGATGCGATATATCCTCTTCGATCCACCAAAAAGTTGTTGCAGTAGAAATATCCCTTCAATGAAAAATTTTCTTACTTGGTTCAATGCTGCACCTTTGAGGTTCTTGAGTCTCCCATAAAATAGTAGGTGCTCCCTCCCTGTCAATGTTTCCCAAAGCAGGCTGAAATGATTCAGAAATAAACAAATCACATAGAGGTCAAATTTGTAGGGAAAGAAAGTGAAAAGCATTTTATGAAAAATATGTGAGATTAGGCATTTAGGCTTACTCATGCTGTGGGCATACACCCATACTGGTGTATATGCTATTCATTTGGGTTTGGATGTCGAACCCTTCAACAAATGCAGTACCAGAGCTTGGTTTTATGATTCCGGTCATCTGTTCAAAAAAGCATGCAAAGTGAAAGAGGAGAAAAGATACAAAGGAAACGATTTCATTTGCAGCGACAGAAATGGGAAGGTCAAGAAAGAATTATCCAAATTAGGCTTGACGGTAAACTGCCAATTTGGAAGCATTAAGTTTACCATGTTTATAAAAGAAGTTTTGCCAGCACCATTAGGACCAAGTACGCCGAAGCATTCCCCATGAGGTAAAGCAAGTGACAGTCCTCTCACTGCGTGTTTCTCTGTGTTTCCATCCCTTCCAGGATATATCTTTTTAAGATTGTCACACACAATAGCTAAACTAATGCTTGACTCCTGCAATAACTGTACAACCTTACCCTTCTGAAAGGGATAGGTAACATTAGCAGAGCAAATGTTAGAAGCAGGAACGAAGCACCTCTTTTGGAAGTGTTACACATATTTATCATTAGCATCATAGACCAGAAGCTTTGCACTACTGTTCATTGAATAACTCATGATTTTATCAAATGACAACAATTTTACCTCTTGAAGCACATCAGACTTCTCCATCTGAACAAAATCTATAGAACCTTGTCTCTCCGAACTAGGTTTTTGTAACAACGGCTGAGGCTCTTTCTGAAAGTTTCGGATGGTATAGGTGGGACTTCTTCCAGATGATATTACCTTGTTTAGATAGAAAGCCACAGAAAGAACCACCAACCATTCGACAAATATAATGATTAGAACCTCTTTAATTCCATTGTCTCGATCATTCAGATGTTTCCATCGCATTCCCACAGTTCCTGTGAAATAGCCATTAAGACAATATTGTGCGAATTCATATAAGCCGCGATAAAGGGCAAATCCAGGAAACAACTCCATTGCAGTGATCCAACCTCCTGTATGATTGTGAGATTCAAAATCATAACGAGAAAGTCAAGAAAAAATATTGACAGAAGGATAAAGTGTTCTATAGTCTAACTCTACCAAGCTGATTCCCCACCTCCCATCAGTGTCCATAAAATGAACATGCGTTGAGATCTAGATTTTCCCAACTATGCTTACAGTCATGTACACCATGGATATATTAGATTTTTTTTGTTACAGAATTTAAATCCTTCCCTCAGTTTCAATGAATGTTTGAACACTAACAACTTTACAGAATAAAGCTCTTGTCAGCTGACACTACAGTTTGAATCTGAAAACTTATTTAAATAATTTGATAAGGATTTTCGAGGAAATTTGATTCTGGAACGAATGATTATTCGCGTCACTTCTTTTATTTGTGTTATTTTTTGTGGGACATCACAATGAAACAGGCAAACAGCAGAAGGCAGATACATGGAAACTATTCTACAGTTTGATTATGCTAGCAGAAATTTATGATCAATCAGAGTTATCAAAGAGTACAAAGTAATTTGCTTCCCATACACAAGGCCCTTCCCTCCACAAAGCACCAGAATATTAAGACAACCTAATTATGTGGTACTTACTTGGGAAAGATGAAGCTTGTAGAAAGAACTGAAAAAGAAAGCCACCTAAGATACCAGTGCCAAAGACTATTATGTAGCCCACAACTGTGAAAATTACAAGCACAAGAATCACCCTTGAAGCTTAAGCAATCTCAGAGAAATCAATATGTGATAGGAAGCAAACCTGAAGCAGTCTTCACATTTGAGAACAATCCAGACACAAGAAAAGCCAGTGCAATTTGCAGGTTTATGTAGAGAAAATATAACACAAGCTGGACACTGTAGTCATTCAGAGTAAAGAACTTCAACCCTGTTAGTACAAATTCCTAGTCATATCAATTTCTTGAGGAATAGGAGTTGTCAAGCAAAATAAATATGAATCTGTTCAGTTTCTTGAGGATTTACCGATCAACGATCCAAATGTGACAAAAACTATCATGTATACGGATGACAATAAAAGGAAGTAAGAATAAGAAATCATCCAGTAGGGCCCATCCCCAAGTCCATGCATTTTCATCATAATTCTAAGCCTTTGTTCCTTCTCGTAAACGAGTGACGTGAGTATAACCTGCACAAAGAATAAAAATGATCAAGAAACTGATTATGCGTATTGCTTAGGCAGAAATATACTCAAAAGAACAGACGTGTGATGTTTCATATATATCTATCCACCTTGTTCTTAACCTCATTTAAGAAACGGAAAGAATTACTTACATATCATGTGATCACCATAAATCTCAGGATGTGTATAGAGAGATTAGAATAGTGTCTATCAATCATTTTTCAAATAAGGAGAAACAACAAACTCTTCATGGAACAGATAAGGCATCTTAAGCTGCATTAATGATCTTAAAATTTATGGTTCTGTGTATGGCAGAATGCATTGTCATTTCATTGGAAAGAAAATACAACTAATATTATTCCCACTATACTTGGATTACATTTCCCCGTTGTGAGAAAATTAAATGTTTCCAATAATGCAAAATGGAACATTCCTATCTGAGATAATATGAATATATACTCACAGGGAATAGTTGTAAAATAACCCATGTAAAGAATAGTGGTCCAAGCCTAGTGGAGATCTCCAACCTGAGAAGTGATTCTTGCTTAGGCATACTTTTCACAAATTCGAACAATATTTTAAATCCAGGGCCAAGCAAAAACTGCAGGTAAGCATTTGACGCCTGCAACACAAGCAAATGTAAACCGCAGTGTCATGACCTTCCAGCCTTCCGGATTAGACCACATGATTCTAATTAACAAAATGAATTATGTAAGCAATAATTCTTTTAGGATCATCATATTCATGCTTAATATAATATAAAGAGATGACTTCCTAGGTTTTTGTGTTTTTTTTTTCCCTGTTTCTTCTATTTTACTGACGAGTAAATGCGTAAATTGCCAAAAAAGATGCACTTTGAATGAAAGAAAAACTTCTAGCAGATTGTCTGCTATTCCCTTAGTTGTTTTGACACCCGTATAACATTCTGGAGGCTGTCATATGCATTACATCTACAACATAATTAAAGTATACAATAACATTTCTACGGTGAATCATTAAACACAATCTAGAAAGGAACTAACCCTCCACAATATTGTGCCTTTCAATTGAAAATTTTTCTAAGAGCTGAAACATTTTGTATGTGTCTTTAGAGTTTGGTCCAAGTCTATCTTTAACGCTGTTACTTCAGTTGAGTTTCAAAAATATAACCTTAATCAACTCTAACAAATCATTACTCCTAAGAATGAAAAAATTTATACCATATTCACTGAGCGAGGCATCCGTATTAAAAAATTTATACCATATTCACTGAGCGAGGCATCCGTATTGCTGAAATCGGATATTTGCCGGTTTCATTCCTATAAGTAGAATTATACAATATGCTCACATTAAATCGCGTTGCATCTGTATCCAAGAAATCATAGGCTGCAAAAGAGGAGAGAGATTGGAATCAGCAGAAATCGATATGATACAATCATTAGGGATGTGACTCATGTTAAGCATGGAAAACCTGCAATTATCTCATTGATCTTTCGCTTTGGATTGCCCCTCCTATAACCCTTATAAACCTCATCATTTATCTCAGATGAACTATGTCGCCACAAATTTAAACCTTGAACACAGCTACATTCTGCATTTGAAACAGACATTCACTCAGAAAAATGCCAAAGCGTGATGTGACAGTTTTAGAATAAAAGCCAATCTTAAGAAGTGCACATTAGTATCCAGCTGAGCGAGAAGAAACAGCTAAGAACAATGATTACTTCTCCAAAGTCTCCATTGCAGTATTCCACTTAAACAGTCAGCCCGGATGACGAAGGACATTGAGCAGTCATCTTTTATTGAAAGTTGAAAAGATATAACAAAATCTAATGCTTTCAACACGAAGAGCAAATAGATCTAAAGATCACAGTTTACCTAGTTTGAGTACGGCAGAACCAAATTTAAAGGGAACCGTGAATGACGAGTTTGTAGGACAATGTCTCTGGAGATAATAAAAGGATAGGTTGGAAAAAAAAGCTGGTTCCATTAAGAAGGTTGGCTGGGGCTTCGAATCTGAGCCCTGAAAAGTTTCAAAGGTTACAAAAGTAACAAAGTAAGCTAGAGATTTTCATAAGGACAATCAGCATACAGTAAAATTGTTAACAGCAATGAAGGAAGAGTAAAGACAACTTGAGCAGAAAAGATAACCCTGACCAGAATATTGTTGGCCATTGTGTGAGATATATCAGAGATATTGAATGATGATGAACGCGGGATCATGTTTGCACCCAAATCTACAAACATAAATCACCCAATCTCAGCTAAGAAACTCATTAGTTTAACAGGGGTGAATAACCACGAGATAAGAACACATACTCCGTCCAAGAGTACGATTTTTTCCAGTCAAAAGTATCGTTGCAGGACAAGAACTGCTCTTCCTGCATGATTCTTTGGGCAAGTCCATGGATGCAATGAATTCTGATTGTACTGCCCGGTACTCTGGCGCTGGTATTTGTAATAAAGGTGGCCACTGGGCCGGGCTAGCAACCGGACACGACCATGCTTGATCTACAGTTGAATATTCTATTCCACACTTTTTCTCACATTTTCCATCTCCATTACTGTCGACACAAATGCAGCCACATCGTAGTGCAGGTTGACTCAGTTCTATGTTCACCACTGTTTGGATCGTGATAAGCAGCATACATAGCACCAATGGGAACAAAACAAGTTGAACATTTGATCTGATATTTCGCTTCTGTAACAAAAACCAAGTTAGCCCCAACAGAAACTAACATGAAATAGATTTACAGTGAGACATAAAATATGCCAGAGCAACATGCTTTTCGTATCATTTTAGATGGAAAAAGCAAAAGATGGAAAACTTTCAAAGGACAGTATTAAATAAAGATGATGTTTACGCATGTGGTTCAATTCTTCGCCAACCAGGAATCATACTCCTCCAAGTTTTAGCTAGAAATTACTAACTACATTGAGAATACTTTTAAAGAGGCTACCCTAGCTGAATAAAACAATGAATATTAAACTGCCAAAACAATGTGGACTATCAATGTGGCTATGTCTTTCACTCTTGATATTAGTCAGAAGGTCTGTGGAAAATAAACTTAGCTATCAATTATCCGGTTCATGCTAAACTCAGTCACTTGCCAATTATTACACGTGAATAATCGACAGAAGCCGAACCATTCAGTCGACTAAAAAGTAATCAAATGTAAGGATGCATAGACATCTAAAACTGATGAAAGATGCAAAAGATAAAGAAATGTGGCTATCTTATTAGCATCTACAAAAGTTTGACAATCAGAAGGAATCATGCAATTTCAAGTATTAAGATATAATAATAAAAAGAAGTCTAAAAAATATCAGGAAAAAAACATCACTGAGATGATGCAAATTTTTAAGAAGTGTGAATTACATGAAAGGCCAAGTTTTTCCTGAGCAAAGCATCAGCCTGAGTCCAGAAACTGGCAGGGCCATGGGAAGAATCCGCCATGGGTGCCTTAAGTGTGTGTTTCTGGTGTGATGCGTGAAATTGCGAAATTGCATATTCAAACTCTAATTTCCCATAGGTATGAAATCAAATTGCCAGACTCATTGTTGAGACTTCTTTCATACAGCACAAACTCTAATACATCTTGAAGTAGAAAATTTTCTTACTTTGGTTGATTGCTGCTGCTCTTAAGTCCCCCATAAAAGAGTAAATCTTTCCCAAATCAGGCTGAATTTGTTGCAGAAATTAAACTAACACATTAAATGAATGAAGAAAACTCAAACGGAACAAAAGGGTTGCAGTCAGTTTATCTTTAATTAGATTATTTTTCATCTTTCGGGATGATTTTAGAAAAGCCCAACGGCGTTTCCCAACAAATATTCAACGGAGACTGTTGTCCTCGCGCCATTTTTTCAACTTATATTAATTCTGCAGAACCACCATTGATGATGTTTCACTTTTAAGCAGAAATTAGTGTTAAAGAGGACAAGAAGAACACGCACCACACACTGGAACACACAGTAGGAAAAAATCCCAAAACAGATTTCATGGATTCGGAACTTCTGACGGGTTTTCCACTGCTGACCCAACAATTCAAAGCCCTTTTGAAGAAGAATTTTCTACTTTCATGGAGGAGCAAAAGGGCTACATTTCCTTACTTGTTCTCCTCCCTTTTGTTCATTCTGTTGCTGTTTTGCATCCAGAAAGCCATTGACGCTCAGTCTTCCAGCACCACCATGAACAATTTCGGTCAGAAAACTTCGCCTCCGATTCCTCCATGTGAGGACAAGTACTATGTTGTGCTGCCCTGTTTCGATTTTCTTTGGAGTGGGAATGAGAGCCAAATTGTTTCTCGGATTGTGCAAAGGATTATGGACAATAATCCCGGGCGACCAATTCCGTCTTCCAAGGTATGAAATTTTTTGAGTTTCGCATATTGTTCAGTTTTCTCCTTTTCGGTTTGATTGTCAGAGGTTTTTGAAGAGTTAAGGTTGGGCTTTGTTTAAATTTTTTGTTGCATGGACCGAAACTTCTATTAAGGTTAGTTGAAGGGTTGTTTTCCAAACTTAATTTTGCTCTGTAAATTCCAGTATCCGTGCTGGTAGAGTATTTTTTAGTACATTATATGGAAGAATTTGATGACATTATAATAAAATTGTGAATTTGTATAGACAACCTGATTGCCTGACTGACATGCATTTTCACATATATTGGTGAAGGTTCAATCATTTAAAACAAAGGAGGAAGTAGATGAATGGCTTCTGGATCATCCCATGTGTTGCAATGGAGCTTTGCATTTCAGAGTTATAAATTCTACTGTAATCAGTTATGGTCTTCAGACAAACATCACTCAATCTGCTAAACGAGGAGTGTACGAAGATTCAACATTCAAGTTCCAGATTCCATTTCAGATTGCCGTGGAGCGCGAAATTTCAAGATATCTCATTGGAGGTATGTCACTCATCTAAATTATGATATGATTCATGAAGTTTCAGTCTGTTCATTGATCTGAATTCACTTCCTTAATTATATGCAATCCTTACATTTTCAGATTCAAACTTTACTTGGGAGGTAAGCTTTAAGGAGTTTCCACACCCTCCAGACAAATTGATATCCTCTATGTCCACAGTTGGATCAACTTTTTTCCTTGCAGTAGCCATGTTTGGCTTTATCTTTCAAATCAACGCCCTGGTGATCGAGAAAGAACTCAAACTCCGTCAGGTATTTATGTTCCTGTATTTCTTTAAAAAACTTTTTTTTGGGTTAAAAAAAAGGTTAAGTATTTTCATAAAACTGTTCAACAGCTTCCCATATTGTTCTCATTGAGATATTCTCATCTTTGATTGACAGGCCATGACAATGATGGGTCTTTACGATAGTGTCTACTGGTTATCTTGGATTACATGGGAGGCCATTCTCACTCTTGTTTCATGCTTGCTGACAGTTCTTTTTGGAATGGCTTTACAATTTGACTTCTTCCTGAACAACAACTTTTGGGTGGTATTCCTTCTGTTTTTCCTTTTCCAGTTCAATATGGCAAGTGTTCTTGACCCTTAGAGAAGTTTCTCTTAAGTTGTTACTGATGTTCTACTTGAAACAAACTTAAAATAGTTTTTTCTAAAAAAATTTTATTACTGATACTTTCTTTGGTGCTTTGTGTTGCTAGATTGGGTTTGCCATCCTCTTATCAACATTCATTCATAGGACATCTACATCTACAACTTTAGGATACTGCATTTTTGTTTTTGGTGCAGTAACTCAGGTAAGTTAGAGATTCAAAGCTTGGTTATGGTGATCAAAGAAGCAATGAATTCTGGAAGCTCATTTCGTGTTGCTATTTCAGGGTGTTATAGCATTTGGATTTCCTTACACACAAAGCTATCCAAATTACTACCGTATTATATGGTCTTTGTTTCCACCAAATCCTTTCGCTCAAGGCCTTCAATTACTTTCTGATGCAACGGCAATGCCAGAAGATCCTGGAATCAGTTGGAATAGGATATCCGAATGTGTTCCATTAGATCCAGCTTGCGTGATAACAATTGTAAGTAAAAAATGATTTTTGAGACAGTGTAAATCACATCTGAGATAAGCATAGGATTCGGTTCCCTTCCTCGACTTTTTCAATTTTTTAAGTCATCATTTCTGTTATTATCTCATTTGCGTTAATGTTAACTCTGGCAGAATGATATATACAAGTGGCTTCTAGCAACATCCCTCTTATGGTTGATATTAGCTATCTACTTCGACAAAATCGTGCCCAATTCAAATGGTGTGAGGCAATCGCTATTTTATTTCTTGAATCCTTGGTATTGGATGGGAGGAGGTGAGAACAAGGTCAAAGGTACTGCTAAACTGAAGCTTCTTCTGTTAGTTGCATATAGTATTTGGTTCATTCGTATGACGCAGTAGCTGATGAAGACTTCTGTAATGTAGAGGGTAGAATATGTCCGCGCACAAGTTCAAGCATTCTTTCGAGCAGTACAACACCAGACGATGAGGATGTTCTGGAAGAGGAAAACACTGTCAAGGAGCAGGCTGCAGAAGGACTATTTGATTCAAATATTGCTGTCCAGATACGCGGTCTTGTGAAGACATATCCTGGTAGGAGAAGAACCATTTGCTGCTTTTGCAAAAGTTATTCACCTTACCATGCGCTTAAGGTACGCATACACCATGCCGTTTTAATAAAGGTTTAACCGAGTCTAAAACTCACTGTGTACTAACTTAGCTAGCAATGGAATGATTAGCATTGCTCTTTCATCTTTAGATCATCCTATAAGTTATATGAATATTATGGTGTATGTGTTGTGCAAACAGTAACAATAAAAAATATCCCCAAGTAAGTTGATTTGCACTCGATTTTAAGATAAAAATCCCATTTACATTTCAAGGTGGACATCTGAATGTAACATTTATCTCATTGCATATGTTTTAAATCCCTGTTTTAATAGTTCAAGTCTAATTTTAGCATTTTGATGTGCACTTTCCTTTTGCAAGATTTAGAAGATAGAAATGTTGAACTTTCCCAAAATTGAAACTTTGGTTCCAGACTAACATACACATTCTAAACTTTGGAACAAATTTTCAGGGTTTGTGGATCAACTTTCCAAAAGGTCAGCTGTTTAGTCTACTCGGACCTAATGGCGCAGGAAAAACAACTGCAATTAGTTGCTTGACTGGTATAACACCGGTGACTGCTGGAGATGGTAATTAGCTATATTTTCTTATTAATTTCATTTTTATTTTTTGGTTCAAACGTAACCACATTCAGAACAATAATGATCTCTTAGCACTGGTACATGGATATTCTGTCAAAAGCACCAAAGGCATGTCTAAAATTCGGAGGATGACTGGAGTTTGTCCTCAGGTAACTACTCTTCAGTATAAAGTCTCTCTTCAACTCTCCATAAAACATTTGTGAAAGTACTAACTGTATTAGCATCTGATTTACTTTGCCACGCATTTATATATATAATGCTGATCCATCTGTTTGCTGCTTCTATAGTTTGATATTCTTTGGGACTCATTGTCCGGCAATGAGCATCTTCATCTTTTTGCGAGTATCAAAGGCCTTCACACCTCGTCAATTAAAAAAGTGAGTCCTGTCTTAACTGATATCTTAAATTCCTCTTGTTTGTTTTTTGTTTCCACGTGTGGCCGATGGTAGCTTCTGAATGAGATAACTTGCATGTAGTCAACTTACATAGAATGAACTCAAACTCCAATATTACAACACCAACACAATGTGTAATTTGTGCAGACTGTGAAAAGGTCTTTAGCAGAAGTGAAACTAACAGAGGCAGCTAGGGTGAGAGTTAGTAGCTATAGTGGAGGAATGAAACGAAGACTAAGTATCGCTATTGCCCTTATTGGCGAACCAAAGTTGATTATTCTAGACGAACCAGTGAGCAGAACATACTAATCTTTCCTTTTCTTCTTTCATTATCCAGTATTTATCAAAGAAACATACATACTGACTTGTTATCACTACTAGACAACTGGTATGGATCCAATAACTCGAAGACTGGTTTGGGACATAATTGAAAATGCGAAGAAGGAGCGTGCTATTATTTTGACTACTCATTCAATGGAGGAAGCTGATGCATTAAGTGATCGGATTGGAATTTTGGCAAAAGGAAAGCTTCAATGCATTGGGACTCCAATAAGGTTGAAATCAAAGTTTGGAGCTGGTTTTGTTACTACCATAAGATTTTCAAATTCTAATGAAACTCCGACCAGAGAAGAGTACACCATTTGTCCAAGACAAGTAGAAGCGGTGAAAAGCTTCTTTAAAGATGTATGACAGACACCCCTCATAGTTCCTCATAACAAAGGATGTTCTACCTAACTTCTTTGCTGCTTCTTGCAGCGGTTGGATGTGGTACCTAAGGAGGAGGGCCTGGAATTTCTAACCTTTGTCATTCCACATGACAGGGAGAGCCATCTGGCGGTAAATGCTCAATTGCTCTCTGAAATTTATTTTGTTTAGATTTAACTCATACACTAAATCTAAGGTTTTCCGTAAATATAAGCATGAATTTATCCTTTTAACGACCATTTTGCATGCTCCAATTAATAAGAGGTTCCTTCTTCTTTTTGCATCCGGAAATGTCAGTAGCTAGAAAGATTTTATTCTAAAGTTATGATGGATTTCAAAATCTTTAGGTGCTTAAATCATGTAGCTTTTCTTTCTTTCCGCTGTAATCATTACCCGTCGTCTTTTCAACGGGATCGAATTTGTGCTTAGATGTATGAAAATTACTGTTTTACTGAAACACCATGGTGCACAGTCTGCAATAGGAATAATAAATAAAATGTTTAAAGTTCTGTTTTAATCTTTTCTTCTCCATTTCATTATGAGTACCAAGACAAAGGGAATTCCATACATGTGCACAATTGCATGGTGCTGACACACAAATCTGAAAATTTGAAAGTTTCCTTCAAATGTTAACTGTCTTACAGAAATTCTATGCCGAGCTTCAAGAAAGAGAGGGCGAATTCAGAATCTCAGACATCCAGCTAGGCCTTACAACTCTTGAAGAAGTTTTTTTGAATATTGCCAAGAAAGCAGAACAGGAAGCCACCATGCTTGAAGAGAGATTTGAGACTCTGACTTAAGACACAGGCATGTCAATTCAAGTATGTAACTCCCTACTGTACTTGTAGCTGTCTGTGGAAATTATTCCCAAATTATTAGAACCATAAAGACAATCTTGTAAAATGCCTAGAATATACACGCCGTTTGAAAAAGTTTGTGTTGGCTCTCATTCAACCACTTGATTAAATTATAGGGGACATTGCTATCTACTTTTACACAATTGTACAGGTACCAAAAGGAGCAAGATTTGTTAAAATCCCTGGAAAGGAAACTGAAGAAAATCCAGAAGGCATGATGATAGAAGTTTACTTGGAACAAGATGACTCAGGAGGAATTTTCATTTCCGGTCATTCCTATTAATCTCCTACCAGCAGCAACGATCTTATCGGGTAGTATCCTGTTATTAGGCCATTGGAGACGAGGTCCATGGACCTTTTTTGATCATCCTGATGAAATAGATGCCATAAATACTTAGCTTATCTTCTTATCTGTGTGTGTAGTTTGATTGTTGGATTTTTGCCTCTGCAGTTTCATATTGGAATGATGATATTATATCTTCATCTACGTTTAAGGTCTTACCCTTTAAGACACTTCAGTCAGCCCCTATCTAATATTGATAGCTTTCTTGAGCGATTGTGGCTCTTAAACTCTGATGTTATTCTGCACATATAGAAACTGACAAATTGATGATATGCATTAGTAGCATTAATTAAGGAGATTAATTCCATAATCATATCAGAATCTCTTAACTACATAATTCAACTCCTCAGTGGTGATTTTTAAACATTCTATACATACTAGTACTTTCTACAACTCATACTTGACGGATGTGTTGCACAAATTTATCCCCTGCTGCTGCTGCTGCTCCACAAGGAACTTGAGTTGTTTAAGGCTGGAACCGGAACTCTCGTCGTCTCAGCCGCTTTCGGTCTCGTTCTTGTTTCTGTAAAGCTTCCACCATTCACATTCTCCAAAAGGATTTTTCTGATTGCTGCTGTTTCGGTCCAAAATATTCGCATCGAATCCGGAAATTTTAGACATGAGCTTCAAGTTTCAATTATGAAAGGATGTTTCAGTAAATCGGAAGCCGACCATCTTTGCGATGGATCTCTATCCAGACACTTTGATAAAAAATCCGCTCCATTATTAGATAACCCGTGTGGCCTATAGAAACCATCATATAATATCATATGGATCAGCTCTTCATCATCTCTGGAATCCCAAACCATATTTCCGGTGAGCATCTCCGCAACTATGCCCCCGAATGACCAGATATCCGTGCAAGTCCCGTGCAAACTATAAGACACCGATTCCGGCGAAGCGTAATTCAGAGTTGTCCTGCTGTAATTGGTTTTTCCGTCCGGAACCTGCTCTTCTTCCTCCTCCCACACCCATCTCGCACTCCCGAAATCCGCGATTTTCAGTATGCTGACTTCAGCACCATGGACAGGAAACACTAGAATATTTCCAGGCTTCAAATCACAATGAACAATTCCCTTTGAATGAATTGCGACAAGCCCTTTAAGCAGGATGCTTGCGTAACACGCGACGTGGGATTCCATGGGTTTTCTATAGAAGTGAATACCCCTAACTGTATTGATACAACAATATTTATAGTGTACATGACAATAATAAGATTATAACAATAGCCCTAAACTAACCCTAATATATATACATTAACATCCCCCGTAATCTGAACGGGAGGTAAACGAACATTCAGATTGTCTCGAAAATCAGTAAAAAGAACATGAGGCAAGCCTTTAGTCATGATATCGGCAAACTGATGAGAAGAGGGGACATGAAGAACTCGAATAGCGCCCTGAGCAACCTTTTTGTGAACAAAATGAATATCAATCTCTACATGTTTCATGCGGAGATTTTGAACGGGGTTAATTGACATAAAAATGGCAATGACATTGTCACAAAACACAACCGTGGCAGTAGACAAACTAATAGACAATTCTGAAAGCAGAGAACACAACCAGAATATCTCAGCAACCGCATTAGCAATAGTTTGATATTCGGCTTCAGCACTGGAACAAGAGACAATAGGTTGGCGTTTGGAGGACCAAGAGACAAGATTGGAACCTAAGAAGACACAGTATCCAGACGTCAAATGACGTGTATCAGGACAACCAGCCCAGTCTACGTCAGAATAAGCTACAAGCTTATCAAACCTAGTAGGCGTAAGAGAAAGGCCATAATGAAGAGTACCCTTCAAGTAGCGAAGAATGCGTTTGACTGCCTGATAATGGGACTCACGAGGCTCATACATAAAGAGACAGACTTGTTGAACAGCATAAGAAATATCAGGACGAGTAAAAGTGACATACTGAAGAGCACTAACAATGCTACGATACTCATAAGGATCCGGAAATAAAGCACCATTAGTCTGAGACAACTTGCTCTTACTATCAATAGGCGTGTAAGCCAAATTAGCCGAAGAAAGCTGACAGCGATCCAATAAGGTTGCTATATACTTGGACTGAGACAAAAACAGACTATCAGAAGTACGGGTAGTAGAGATACCAAGAAAATAATGCAAATGACCTAAATCAATCATAGCAAATTCATGTCCTAATGTAGCAATAATGGATTCTAACAAAGAGGCAGAAGATGCAGTAAGGAGAATATCATCAACGTAGAGCAAAAGAACAACCATATCTCTACCATGGCGATAAACAAACATAGATGAGTCAGACTTGGAGGAACAGAACCCATGCAAAGTAATAAACGAAGCAAACCGTTGAAATCAAGAACGGTGTGCTTGCTTTAGACTATAAAGGGCACGGTTGAGCTTACACATATAGTCCGGATGTTGATGATGAACAAACCCGGGTGGCTGCTTCATGTAGAGAGGCTCTTGCAACAGACCAGTTAAGAACGCATTTTTGACATCAAGCTGATGAATGGGCCAATTACGAGAAAGAGCCAAAGACAAAACAATTTGAATAGTGGCAGGGCGAATCACTGGACTGTAAGTATCACCAACATCAATACCGGGGTGCTGAGAAAATCCTTAGGCAACAAGTCGGGCTTTATAACGATCTATAGAACCATCAAACTTTTCTTTAATTCGAAAAACCCATTTTGAGCCAACCACATTCACATCAGGGGGTTTCGGAACAAGTGTCCAAGTATTGTTGTGTGATAAAGCAACAATTTCATCATTCATTGCTTGCTGCCATTCATCAAACTTACTAGCCTTACGATATTTGCTAAGAACCTGCAAAGGAGTGTTAGCAATAGTACTAGCTAAATTAAAAATCACCTTGGGTTTACGAGTACCATCCTTAGCACGAGTGACCATAGGATGACGAGGAGGAATGGAAGATGAGCTTAAATGAGAGGAAGGATTTGAGGAAAGAGGTGCAGAAGACGGTGAAGACTCCGAACTAGTAGATGGGACAACCGATGAAGATGGAGTGGGAGGTAGGGAAGTACTAACAGAAGATGGTAGATGTGGCGAGGGAAAGGAAAAGGTAGCAGGAGAAAGGGCAGAAGGAGTCAAGGTGCAGGGGAGCGAAAGGGAGAGCTAGGAGAAGAATAGTGTGACGTAAATGAAGCAAAAGGAAAGGTGTTTTCGTCAAAAACTACATTACGGGAAATAATGACCTTATTAGTAGCAAGAGAAAGACAACGATAGCCTTTCTGATTAGAAGGATAACCAAGAAAGACACAAAGAGTAGAGCGAGGTTCTAACTTAAGACGGATTATGTGAGAAAGATTGGGGTAGCAGGCACAAAAAGGTGTGCAAGTGATCATAGGATGGAAGTTTGTGGTGAAGGACCTCATAAGGAGTTTTATTTTGTAGGAGAGGAGTAGGGAGACAATTTAAGAGGTATGTGACTGTATTAAGAGCTTTAACCCATGGAAGGCATAGAAACCTGAAATAAAAGAGTGCGAATCATATTGACAATGGTACGATTGAGACGTTCTGCTTTACCATTTTGTTGAGAACAAGCAATAGTAGATAAGCGGAGGTGAAGGCCATGAGCTTGAAAGAATTATTGTCGTACTCACCACCTTGATCACATTGAAAATTACGAATGACAGCATTGTATTGTGTTTTCACATGGGCATGAAAATTGCAAAAGCAAGAGAAAACATCAGCTTTAGATCGAAGAGGAAATACCCAACAATAATGTGTGTAATCATCCAAAAAAGTGACAAAATACTTATATCAAGAAGGAGAAACAACTGGAGAAAACCATACATCAGAATGAATAAGCTCAAAAGCAAAGTAGTCTGAGACAAAGAAGACTCAAAGGGTAAACGCACATGTTTCCCAAGTTGACAAGCATGACACAAATCTAAAGTAGACCTAGAACAAGGAATAAGAGAAGCATTTATTAAGGTGGCCAACACACGATGGCCAAGATGACCTAAATGACGGTGCCAAGTAACAGAAGTAGACCGGGTAGCACCAAGAGCTGGAACTAAGGATGGGAAGGTGCAATTGATGAGAGGATAGAGAGGTCTAGAACAATTGCACCGAAGAATTTGATTCTTCGTGGGTAGATCTTTAACAGAAAAACAAAAAGGGTCAAATTCTACAGAGCAGTTATTATCAGTAGTAAATCGATGAACAGAGATTAAATTTTGAGTAAGAGATGGAACATAAAGAACATTATTTAGAGATAAAGAACGACTACAAGCAGAGATATTTGAAGAACCAAGGGATTTAATAAGTAGCAAAGCACCATTACCAACACACACTTTATCAGGACCATTGCAAGGAGATAAATTAGTAAGCTTACTAGAATCATTGGTCATAGTTGCGCCTGCACCAGAATCAAAATGCCAAGGAGTATCATGTTGAGAGAGAGTCGGATGTGCAGTGAAAGCTGGAGTAGAAAAACCAGCACCCATAAGGACAGAGGGGCACAGCCGCACAACATGACCATAGCTACGACACTTAAAACACTGAACCGAATGCTGGAACTGAGGAATTCCAGGTGCCGAATTACCATAAGAAGGTGGCGCACCCAGGATAGATGAAGGAGGAGCAGGCGGACGAGAAAATTGCGGCTGCCAACCACCTCGGCCACCACCACGACGACCTCCTCCACGACGACCGCCACCTCGACGACCACCAGGTGAAGAGAAAGGCTAAAAAGCAGAAGCAGCATAAGCAACATGCTGTTGTTGAGGCTGAGCTGGCTGAGCAACAAAGACGTTAGGAGAAGACGGCACGGGAGCGGCTTTTTGTTGTTGCTTCAAAAGTTTGGCTTCTTCAAGCAAAAGCCGAGAACGACATTCATCAAAAGTCGGTAGAGGCTTCTGAGATGAAATTTGAGAGGTAGCAGCATTGTACTCAGGGCCCAATCCCATAACAACTTGCATGACAACATCACGATAGGTGATGGAATCACAAATAGAGACTAAACAGTCATATAACTCTTTCAAGCGATCTAAGAATGCAGCCATAGAAAGATCACCTTTTTCTAAGTGATAAAATTCTTGTCGGAAATGGACAATGCAAGACTCAACATGATCTCAAAAAATTTTCTCAATCTTTTCCCAAGCTTAAAGTAGTAAGAGAAGTGCCCGGTGTAATAATATTTCGCAAAATCTCACGAGACAAAGTGGCTTGAATCCAAGACAGAACAAGGGAATCAATCTGAAACCATTGAGCATAAGCGGGTCCCCGACAGGGGGGCAGGGTGTCGAACCATCAACATGACCGAAAACTTGAAGTCCTTTCAAAACAGGAATAAAGAGCTCTCTCCAAATCAAATAATTAGTAAAATCCAAGACCTCATAAACATGATTCTTTATGTTGGTGAGAGTGCAAGCCGGATGACGCAAAGGAGACGCATCCATAGGTGGTTTGGGCGTGGCAGTCACACGAGAGGATTGAGGAGTGGATTGAGGAAAGGTTTCCGTCGGCTTCGTCATGGGAAAAACAACAACACCGGCAACAACAACCACAAAGAGCAACAAGGAAGAAGCAACAACCCCGGCAAAGCAAGCACCAGCAATCAAAGAATCCGAATGCAGCAGAAAAACTTGAGGAAGAATTGCAGCAATATATCAACGAACAGCAGCGGCAGATGGTCAGAACAATGGCGGTGAGAAGCAGCAACGTGAAGGAGGCAGCAACGTTGGCGGAGCACGAAGAGATCAGAAAGCAACGCCAGCGGGAACCAACAGCAACAACAAACTGGTCAATTCAGACAACAATGCCGGAGAGAAGAAACAACAAACACGAGTAGCAGCAGGAACTAACGGCAGTAGCAGAAAGAGAGAAGAAGCTGGCAGCCGTTCAGCAGCAATCAATAGCGACGGAAGCAACAAGACAGCGGGGCTGGTTCCAGAACAAGGAATCTGATCAAACCAACAAACAGAAGCAATCGTGGAGGGCAATTCCGACGGGAAACCGAAGCAATCAGAGAAAGACGACAGCAACAAGGAGCAGCAGTGGTAGAAGATGGCGGTTGCAGGAATACAACCACGGCCCAGGAGAGCGGATGATACCGTATAGAAGTGAAGACCCCGTTAGGGTTATACTATATTGATACAACAATATTTATAGTGTATATGGCTATAATAAAATTAC